GGAGAGATCAAAGGAATGTGGTCTTTGATAAAAGGATCGCTTACACCTGATATACTGAAAATCGGGAGTCTGGAAATATCTTTTCAGATTAACATTTCATTAAAAGGCACCCATTTTCACAATCTTATTCTTTTTAATACAATATGTTAGCCTGAAAAGGTGCTACTGGACTTCTGTTTTTTTTTTGCCTGCCAAAAACAAACATGCCTCTCCTCCTATAATGGTTGATATTGAATGGCTCCTGAAATATTCACAATGTGAAACACTACCTTAAGCATGTAATGCTTTGTTCCAAAGCTGTATTTGTAAACAGGGAATAGCAGGATTTTCATATGCCAAGAGCCTGGCAATGGCCATGGTGAAGAAATCAAAATAGTTAAACATTGGGAAAATGTTATATCAATATCTTCATATGAAATACCATAAGATATCACGTGAAAACACTAAAATTTTATAATATTGGTAAGCTTGTCAGAGTTCAAAGCTTTCCATTTTTGAAGTTGATTTTTCTTCCAGTTTAGGATGTTGTGGATCTTTGGCATCCACAATTGACTGCTTCCTCTTATAAATGCCATGGCAAACCTCAGTTCAATGTCCAGCTTCAGCATTCTCTTAGTCTAGTGTTTGTCAACCTTACCAACTTTAAGATCTGTAGACTTTAACTCCCAAAATATCCCAGCCAGCATGGTTTGCTCGGAAATTCTGGCAGTTAAAGACCATACATCTTAATGATGCCAAGGTTGAGAAACACTGCTCTAATCAATTTGAAATCCTGTTCAAGTATTTAGAATCTATCAGCTTAAGTACTCAATAATTCTTCTGAAATTTAGGAAGGCATAAAGATCCATTGTCATACTAGCTTATCAAATTGTTGTCATGCTGACTTTTATATTAATGAGGTTATAATGGCAATTTGGAGGGTACAATGGCAGTTGTGTCCACTGAATTTCACACATAATTTCTTAAAAATAAAAAAACAAAAACAAAGCTAATATTTATTAATCTTTCCCCTAGGAAGCAAACATGTCTGTATATTTTACTATCTTAAATCTCTGTTAGGTTACTCCTGGTTGACACTGAATAAAATCTAACTAAGAGTGATCCCAAAATATGCCCATCAAATTCATCATGCATTGCAACATGAAACCTGACTGGAATAATTGAGTACATAAGAATGAGCAAAATTATCTAAGAAAAAAATGCTGGTTTTTGTGGATGCTCATTCACTCCACTTTGTCTGTTACCTTGGTTTGTAGTTTGTATATTAATGGAAAAAAGAATGTGAAAAAGGATGTCTTCTAAAGATAGCATCATGTTATGTTTCTCCTTTTACAGAAATTTATGTTACACGGTCATGGGCTAAACTTAATGTAACATGATACATTAAAAACTGCACATCAGGATTACAAAATGTGTCAGAGCAATGAGTTGTTATATCAGATTTCTCTTCATCTGTGAGGAGAACCCTTTAGTAAATCATTCACAAAAGAATGCATTCACTCTTTAATGCATGTACATAAATTCCATCCTCCTTTGCTTCCCCTCACCCTGTTCTGAAAGTCTCTATCAAATGGAAATGAGCTAGGAAATAATGTTGATATTTTCACCTCACCCAGAAATAGCATCATTCTTTCTGTGTAGACACAAATGAATATAGATGTACTGCCTAACTCACTAACTAAATGGCAAATCCTCATATTTAAAGAAGTTTAGATATTCTCCCTAATACATAGAAGCTACTCCCCTGTGCCTGATAGTTCTTGACTTATATTTTTTGTACTTCTACAATACATGTAAGAGTCAGTGGAAGGGGAGTTGGTGTTGATATTGTAGGAAATGTTTGTTCCATTAGCTCTTACCAAATAATTGTCTATTCATTTATATGTTCACCCAGCAAAGTTGGTACTCATAAACAAAGTCTGTGTCTATTAGAATGTCTAAAGGATACTTGATCTCCCTAGAAAATTAATACATTGGTGCACCAGACCTGTGAAATATTATGGCTAAGCCATACACTAGCGGTTTTGGAATCGGTTTGGTAAATTGTATGAATCTAGCTACTGTGCCTTGCAAACAAGATTTATACTTTATGAAGTTATATGAAATCATTCATTGTAAATTGTTGGACAGAGGTTGGCAAAACAATTTTTTCAGCCATCTTAGAGAAATGAGGCTGTAATTAGGGCAGATATCACTACAAAGATTTCATGTAAATAAAGGAAAATTCTGTCCCTATAAGCCACCTTGCTGACATCTTCATAATAACTGTTTAATCTGTTTTAAGAAGAATGCTAACAACGCTAGTTTCTGAAGATTGCCATGAAGACAGAGCACATCTAGAACCAGAGACAATCCTTTCTACCTCTAAAATGGAAAGTAAGTTTGGAGGCGACTGGTTTGCAAAATCTTCAGGCAAAAGTAATTCATTTCCCACTCTCACTGAAATCAGATAATTGGGCGAGAGAGGTTTTTCTGTGTTTTCTCAGAGAGGCAACTAGCTTTGGAAAAGGAAAGAAAGGAATTTTTTGTGGGATAAAAACTTCCAGGAAGCAGGAAGGACCCAAAAGCATACCAATTTTAAAGTGTATCGAATAAGTAAATTAAACAGAGGAAGGATTCAGTTTTATTTTGTTTATGCTCAAATCTAGCCTTATCTTATTTTCTTGAAGAGTGTCTTGTTCTATACGCTTATCTCTAAATTGTATGCAATTTTCTGTTGCTGTGTATATGAAAGGGTTAAAAATGTACTCTCCCTTCAGAACCATTGGTCCATCAGTGTTATTTTCAGTGGTTCTGGAAAATCCTCTGGCCAAAGATTAGATAGGCAAATACTTAGACAGACTGGATAATGTCAATCAAAGATTTCCAAACTGTTTCAAGCTTTGGAGCCTATTAAAGGTAAAAGTTTCCCCTGTCCAATGATTTCCAGCTGTAGGGGGTGATGCTCATCTCCATTATATTAACCTAAAAAGAAATTTTTAAAAATTCCAAATGCAGGGGTCAAGTGGGGTGTGACTTCTGAGTATCACTTGGTAAGAGTCATGGTTATGGGATTGAGACAGCAACAAAGAATATGTTATTTTGATGCATGTTCATTTTTCATCTGATGCTAGTTTTGTATGTAGCAAAGATGGTCTGGAGACAGTTGTTGCTGTTATTTACTTATTGTGCTTAAAGCAAGATCTACCTGACTCTACAACAAGCTATCACAAGTAATGCATTTGAGGTGCTTTAGAGGGCAGGAACCTTTACACTGCCTCATAACTTGTTCTTTTTAATAGAAGAGGCCAGAGTTGTGTTCATAGACAAGCCATAAATTTCCCAGGCTGTAGGTAGGTTTTCAGTAGTATAGTTAACTGGAATGAATACATAGGCATTGCTTCATTCTGCATCAAACCCAATGAGGTACTGCCTTCTTAGTCCAACCCAAATAAATTGTTCTCAGAACTGTCTTCTCCAGCTCAACTAAAATTTGCTTCAGGAAAAAAATGGAGTGATAACTTTTTAAATCTTTCTGGCTGCCAGAACCAACTATACTTTAATGCAGGAATTTCCAAACTATGTTCCGCAGAAACTGATGGGATTCTATAAACAAACTAATGCAAAAAGGAGAAGTTTTCTAAAAGCACAGTGTGTGGGGGAAAGCCACTTGTACTTATAGCAACTGATTATTCTTATGTGTGAGTCTGAGAGACACATAGCAGGAGTATGAGAATGTCCCCCTCCTCCATTTTTCTCATTCCACCAAGTGGAAAAAACTTTGAACAGTTTTTCTGCTTTAGGGAAATGGAGCTTGTCCATCACTGATTGCCATATTATGCTTAGTACTCCAACATGACACTATGGGCTGCAATATAGTATCTACCAGGCTTTACTGTGTTTAAAGATATGCTATAATGCCGAGCATCCTCCTCTAATCTAATTATACTTCTAGAAATGCCTGTCAGATCCACACAGGACCCATAAAAATATGTTAATTAAAAAGGATATTTGCAGACCATTGTTTTGAAGTGCCTCCATCTGCTTCAAAATAGAAACAAAAGTAAAATGGGAATGTGAGGGAACATGTTGGAGATCTATAGGTATAAGAGAGAGTAACACTCATTTAATTTCTTGTACCTATGCCTAATTGATCTTGGTTAATCTAGCAAATTAAACAAGATTGACCCTTGCTAGCATTTGTATGAAAAGCCAGAGAAACCTAAGGCAGCTGCAGCAAGCCTTTGTAGGGTTAATAAACCCAAGTAATGGGAGCTAGACAAAAAGATGTGTCTGTGAATAGAAATCATGACCAAACTGGGAGGAAAAATAAGGAATACTGCCCCTTGAAGTTGCCAAGATTAAAAACTGAACTATAGGATTAGAGCCTAAAGTTTATTTGGAATCCCACTTCACAAAATAAAAAGTATTGTACTTATATCTGACTCCATATTACAAAACTGTGGTGTTACCCTATACTTACACTACATGTCTCATACAAGGATATGGTGGAATTATGTTATCCATCCTCCATTTACAATTATCAGGATTTTCAAAAGTGAAAAAAATAAAGACAGCTTTTAAAAATAAGCCAATTCTAAATACACTGCTTGCAATTCTTGACTTATTGCTATTGGCAAATTAAATCATTCTATTTCTGCATTTGCGTTTAGGACCTTGCTTATAACTTTAGGTTGTCGTTGAATGAATTCCACCACTGAAGCATGACTAACAAACCATGTTTTAGCAAACAACGGTTTAGTATGAAGAGTTTTGTTTTTCTCTTTATTACTACCGTACTGGGGTAAGATTTGGGACTGACAACATCAAACTGTTCATCCGCAGTTTCTTTTTTATTTGGGCAGAACGAGATTTGCGGTAGAACAGCTCCAGCGGGAAGTTTATATTCCAAAGATGACGCATCATTTCCTATCCCTGCCTTTAAGTTCTCTTTCTCCCTCCCTCCCTCCCTTTTTCAGTGGTACAGTCCACTGAGAGGCGGAGGTAATAATCTTAGTGAATACGTTTATTTCGCGCATGCGCTTTAACCTGTGAACGCTGTCGTGCTGCTGGTCGTGGGGTCTCTCTTCCCTTGTTACCTGTTTTGTATCCGCATTTCGTTTCGTCGCCGCTGCCCGTTTTCGCTTACGCCCCCCGTCTCCCCATGGCCGACCCTCGCGTGAGACAGATCAAAATAAAAACAGGCGTAGTAAAACGGTGAGTATCTGACGAGTAGGGCCTCGTACGCGGGAGCGTGGCATGGGGAGATGAGTTGCTTTTTCCAGGAAGCGAGTGAAATTCGCAGGGCCGCGATGCAACTGCCTTATATCCACGCGTTTTGCTGGACGAGGAAGCATCGACTCGGTATATGCCCTTATATATGCATGTATATTAGGTCGGTTTTTTACTCGAACACTTTCCCTGCGTACAACAGTCCTGCGAGGAAGGTTGAATCAAGAGATGTTGATTGGTCGGTGGCCGAGTGTGAAATTGAACCTGTCGCTCCCATTTCTAGGTTATCTAAGCAAATACGATCCCCCCACCCCCTTTCCACTGTTTGCCCTAAAGCCAGGGCCTGTTTCCATTGATAAATAGCAGCGAGAGAATATGCAGTTATATGCCTGTTCATATATTGTTTTGTAGACACAGCTTTGGTGATTATTGACACCTTAAATACATAACTTTTTTTTCTTGATGATAGAAGGTAAATGGAGCCTTTGCTAACGTATAACTGCCTGAATAGACTGAACTACCATTTTCACCCCCTGATTGTGCTGTCTTTATATGGACAAAATGTTATTCCAGTGTATCTGAAGGGCTAGCTGGTCCAGAATCTTTTTCTACTTAATACCTGTATTAACTGTATATTCCAGATTCTTTGCCAGGGTTACTAATGATGATTGGAGTACATCCACAAAAGTTGCTTGATTCACAAATGTCAGTTGTAATCTGTTCCCACTTTTTCTTGTGATTTTTGTTTGCATATTTACAGCTAACTGGTATTCCAAGATCATTTAAATGTGTATAATGGTCAAAACATATTTCCAAGTGAAAATGAAGTGGCTACAAGTTATGTCCAGGACATGTGTAATGTAATAATCATAGTGTAGAGTAGCATATGTACATCTGAATATTGTGCATATAATAGTGTTCATGTATATACACATGTAATAGCATTCACTGTTTTGTAAATTTCATGCAGTAGCAAAGAACTTCTCTAGCTTGTACTTGTAAAGTGGGAAATCATTTTAAGAGAGCAAGAATTAGCTTTGCTGCAAACATGACATATAAATATGATAACATAATCCTTATGTATTTACTTCATACCCATTTTTGTGAAGAGTAAGAGATGCTGATTAAGCATTTGCTAATCTATATCCAGTTCTCTTTTCTTTCAATTTAGGCTGTTTGATATATATCCAGAATCTTCTGTCTTAAGGCTAGTTGCAGGTCAGTTGTGTAATTGTGTGTTCTGGTGGGGAGGGGATGGGTCAGATAGAAATGGGGTTACAGTTAAGTAACACAGTCTTGTCATGGATTCACAGGCTTTTATAACTGTAGTCTTAGTATTACAGCAGGTTATAAAAGCCTTAATGATCAGTTAATGAATCAAATTCAAAATTTGGTCTGCAGCAAAATGTTGCAGTTTTTGTAGGTTTAACGTGCCATGGGGAAGAAAATATTTTTGTCCAGTTTCTGTAATGCACTTTTCTGAAAGATATAGTATCAACTTTCTTATTTCAGCACCAACAAAATGTATTTAATTCCTAATACCTGAAAGGGCTCCTCTTAACATTCCTTCATATAACTAGAAACTTTTAAAAATAAAAGTATACACATGAAATGCAAAGGACTGCGTACATTGTTGCTGAAAAGCTAGATGTCTTGGCAAGTCTGAAGACAAACCTCTGCTTGGGTGAGGCTGCATATTAGATGGATGGATGTATAAACACACAGGTTCTCTTTCCTTTTTGTCCCTTTTTTCTTTTCTCCTCCAGTAAGTTTTGTCCCCTTATTGTCCCTTTCCAAGATAGCACTTATTCCTCTTATCACAGCTTCATCCTGGGTTTTTTTTTTTTTTGGGGGTTTGTGGGGGGGGGGGGGGGGGGGAATCTGCATGTGTAGTTGTGTATTTTTTGTGTGTGAGAGAGAGAATGAGTGCCATATGCAAATGAGAATCAATTAGTTTTACAAATGACATATCCTATTTTACAGGCAATTAATTTTAATCAACACCTATTAACTCTTTTTCTTCTGATCCTCCCTCTTTTTGGGAGCATGGTTTCTGACTGATGTATATATGCAGGCAAAAATGACACATTTGGGAGAATAGTCTAGGTCTAGGACATGTTTTAGCTGGAGTGGGCAATGCTAGTTTGACAAGATGGGAAGTGAATAGAACTTTTGAGTTCACAATATTTTTTCTTTCTGTTCCTGTTGAAGTTAAGTTGGTAGAGTATTTTAAATTCAGAACATCTTCCTCTCAGATTAAAAACACTACTTCATTTGCTAGGTACTATCAAAATAGATAATTAACTTGATCATTTTTTGTTGTCAATGTAAAACTCAATGTTCTACAGGTAGTTCTCACCTACTGATCTTTTGCTCAGTGAATGTTCAAAATTATGATGGTGCTGGAAACAGATCAATGATGGTCTTCAAAGTTGCAGTCGTCCCATGGTCATAATTCAAGCTCTTGGCAACAGGTGCACATTTATGACAGGTACACCATTCCACAGTTACATGATCTACATTTGTGATCTTCACAGTTGGCTTTTGAAAATCAGTGGTAAAGCCCTCAGGAAATCACAAGTTACAGTCATGTAACATCAGATACAGTGACCATGGGTGATTCAATTAAATTTACTTAAATGAAACTGATATAAGTCTGCACAGTCTTATGATGTTTCCCCTTTAGTTTGGTTAGTAAGTGAGGACTTCCTGTATTTTAAATTGTTTGCTTCTTTTATTTATGATTTGTATGTTTCAGAGACTGTACGTAGCTTGTATGTACATTCCACAGTTACATGATCCTGCCTTCTAGACCTCAAGAGTTTTCATAGGTTTCTGTGTGTGTGCACAGAATGAAACATTTGCTTTACTGCTGGATAAGTGATATGTTCTTCATGCACTTAAATATAATGGCAATCTTGAAAGGCCCTCACAACATAGCAATTTCTCTGCTTCAAGGATGTTTTGTACAGTCCTGGTATACATACACACATAAAACACACACATTTTATTGTAAATTTATTTGATGTGTTTTCTTTAAGTCAAATTCACTAACATATTTCTTAATCTTCTCAGTTTATTACTATTCCAGTAAGAAACTCCTCCTTGCCCCAAAACAACCAACCTCATGGCTGATAGCATCTTAAAGTTGCATTGCTTGAATTGTTTTATTTCTCTTTCTTCAGTCTGTGGATCTTAACAGAATTTTGGAAATATATATGTGGTCCTTTTTTGACTGTACATAATAGCTCTGACCAGTTGTTGAGACTGGTCTTTCACTGAAGGAATTTTTATTTTCCCAGTTGTATTCTGTAGATTCTGTAACTGGGGAATAAGATTTCTATTCCACCATACCAGCGTGACTTAAGTGCCTGATGGATCTGCATGATTCTTAAATGCATTTAGGCAATTTTCCGAATTGTTTGTTGGTTATAATTGTCAATTTCTTGGCTGATACACATCAGAGATTTGGATGTTTTTGTTTTCATGGCCACATCAGGTTTTCATTTATAAGGGTTCTGACATTAGTGAAGCAATTGGCAGTAGAGGAACTTTTAAGATAATCAGATCTAGCATAGAATAAGGCCCATTTGATATCCCATTCTGCAGATGTGGCCAATACAATAGCATTTTTCTAGAAGTCCAAAAAGGATGTGTCTAATAGTAGAAATGTGCTGTGTTTGCATAAGGCTTGAAGCATTTTTTCCAAATCACTTTCAAAATATGCATAGCTAATAAGACCTGTGCTGAGGAAACCCTTGGAGAGCTGGAGAGTAGTGCATCTCTAAGTCAATTTTAAGTATTTGATTTCTGAAAAAGTTAATAGCTTTGCAGGACCAGGGACATCTAAATGATGCTGATTATCTGCTTTTATCTCAGTGAACTTTCCACTAGCATATGATACTGCAACTGATTTGATTGGCTGGGTGAATGCTCTGTGCTGAGAACTAAATATGTGGAACGTCATTGTGTTTTTTTGGACTTGTTGGTAGGTTTCAGTATCTTTCAGTGTGATGTCCTTCCAAATGACCACCGCTTCTTCCTAGTTTGTATGCCACCAACTCCCAATGACTTTGTCAAGTTATGCTTAGAATGTGATGAAGATAAATTATTTAACATGTAGGCTGCATCTATAGCAGAGATGTCAAACTCAAGACCTGTGGGCCAGAATGGCCCACAGATTGCTTAAATCTGGCCCATAGGGCTGACCTAGAAATAGCAAAGGACCGCCCCATGGTGCCTGGCAACCAAAACGGAGCACTGGAGGGGGGTGCACAGCCCCTGTGTGGCCCATTTTTGGCTTGGACATCCTCCTGCAGCACTTTGCCGGGAAAAAAGGAGCACAGAGGGCCTTCTGCAGCACTCTACTGGCCAAAACGGGCGCAGGGGGGCCTCGAATGCGGTTTTGGCTGGCAGGGTGCTGCAAGAAGGCACCCATTCCAAAAAGGAGGGCATCCTGACCACAACCAACCACACTCGTATATTTTCATTGGAGATACAGGAATTTTGGATTATATACAGTAATGTAGTGCTGAGCATGGTATACAGAGTCTCTACAAAAGTGTTATTGGCTACAGTTTATAAGTATTACCCATAAATACCTCATGCACACTTCTACTTAAATTTCGTTAATAGAATTTAGCCAGGGTTAGGGAGAGACAAGTCTTCAAGGGAAGGATACTGTAAAAACTCCAGTCAGAGGTGGGATTTGCCGGTTCTCCTAATTACTCAAAATTTCCACTACCCGTTCTCCAGAACTGGTAAGAACCTGCTGAATACCACTTCTGGTTGCATTGGTATATCTTAAACATAAATATATTTCTTTAAAATATAGTTTGGCCTTTATTTGTCTTTGCAACTTTAAGTAATACTAGTAGAGAAATACTATAGTGCCTTTTGTCTTACCAGACATCATTTTGATTGGATCCAATAATTCTATAGGTTCTAATCTTCATAGATATATTTTTCATGGATAGATAAAGGAA